CACACACACACACACACACACACACACACACACACACACACACACACACACACCTATTTGAGAGCAAATCGCAGAAACTTACCTGGAATCATTCCCCATCTCTCCACTAATGAGAAGACTGTATTTTACACAAACAAGAAAAACTGTGACCATGGAGAAATTTACACTAACACATGTTGTTATCTGGTGCCCATCAACTATCCAACAATCAAAGATTTTCTATTATAAGGACAGGAGCACCCTTATATATCATCTTCTTTATTTTGTCTCTGTTTTCCCCCCCAACAGAATTCACACACTGGCCATTCACTCGTTGTGACTGGTTTGTCTCCTTCAACCTGGAACTCCTCCTTGGTTCTGTACCTGACACTGGACGTTTGAAGGCAGGACATTTGTTCTGCAGAACCCCTCCACCTGGACTTGTTAGTTTCCTCACAAGAATAAAGCTAAACCTTTTTTTAGTAAGACTATCATGTGGGTCAACGTCGGGGGACCTGTGTGTTTTCAACCTTGCTAATCATTCTCTGTCTTGGTTATTTCTTATCACCGTGGTACAAATACCTGACAGAACCAACTTATTGGGGGGAAGCTGAGTCCACTGTGGAGGAAGAGGCATGGTGGAGCAGCTTCCTGGCAGCTGGAGTGCGTCACAGCAGCTTCCTAGGTCTTGATGAGTTAGGAAGCAAAATCTCATACAAGAACCAGATATTGGCAGCAGTTTCAAGGCCACCCCCAGTGACTACTTATAACTAGGCTGCTATATCCCCCAGACTCCACAAATTCCCCCAACAGCGCCACCCTCTGGAGATCAAGTGTTCGAATCTGTGGGGAACATTTCAGATTTAAATTGTAACAGTCTTCCAATATTTTTCTCAAGGGACCTGACTGTTTTCTGTTGCCGTGATATAAACACCATAACTGAAAAACAACTTGGGGAGAAAGGGTTTGTTTCATCTCACAGCTTACGGTCCATTATGGAGGGAAAGTGAAGACAGGAACTCAAGGCAGGAACCTAGAGACAGGAACTGAAGCCGAGGCCGTGGAGGAACACTACTTACGGGCTTGTTCCAGTGACGTGCTCAGCTCACTTCCTTTTATAACCTGGGACCACCTGCCCCAGGGTGGCACCCTCCACAGTGGGCCGGGGCTCCCAGATCAATCATTGATCAAGAACGTATCCCACAGATATGCTCACGGCCAATCTGATGGAGGAGGCAGTTCCTCGGTTGACATTCTCTCTTCCCAGGTGACTGCAGTTTGTAGCAAGTTGACAAAAACTAGCCAGCACACCCTCCAAGCTTACACTTCTAGCAGCAGCAACTGTAGTACTTACTCTTCTCAACGCTGTGAGATATGGAAAAGATATCAAATACTGCCAAGAGCAACACTAAAGGGTGAAGGATTTCTGTCGGCTCCTGGTATGAGGGGGTACAGTCCATTGTGGCGGGGTGTGTGTGTGTGTGTGTGTGTGTGTGTGGGGGTAGGTGGGGGGGGGGGGGGTGCGTGGGCACAGCACTATGTCTTGGAGATCTGATGCTGCCTACTCACATCTCAGAAGATCAAGAGACAGAGGAGGGAGAATGTCAAGAGTTCAGCTGGTTTGAACTCAGGTCGTCAGGTTTGGCTGCAAGCTCTGTAAGGAGTGGAGGAAGCCCTTACAGAGGCTTCCCCAGCCCTGTGGAGGTGGGGTGGGAGTGGGGTGAGACTCAGAGGGAAATGGCAAAGCCTTCCTCTGCTCCCCAACATAACCGGAAAGAGGGAATCTCAGTTGAGGAATTGCCTTTATCAGACTGGCCTGTGTGCAGGTCTGTGGGGGCATTTCCATGATGGATGGTTGATGGGAGATGACCCACAGCCTGCTGCAGGCCATGCCATCTCTGGACAGGTGGCTTTGGGTTGTATAAGAAAGCAGGCTGAGCAAGCCATGAGAAGCAAACCAGCAAGCAGCATTCTTCCATGGCCTCTGCATCAGCTGCTGCCTCCAGGTTCCTGCCCTGCACTCTGGCTTCCCTGATGATGGACTGTAACCTGTAAGGCAAATGAACCTTTTCCTCCTCAAAGCTGCTTTTGGTCAGAGTTTTATCACGGCAACAGAGAGGCAAACTGGTGATACATATGTACTCAACTCTGCTGTATATAAAGAGAGGGATGGATCCAGATACAGTACTAGTGGAAGCTTTGAGTCTCTGCCTCCATCGATGCATCCATCCTCCAGGAAAAAGAAAACAGCTGAAGAAACTTCAAACTAAACCCGATAAGAGCTATTGTGCACTCTCCATCAAAATGCCAGTGGCAGTCTCCACCAAGATAGAAAACAAAATCAACAAAGGTCCCAAACTCTCAAGGCCAGCAGGACCCCCCCCCCACCACCACCACCACATTAGGCTACAGACTGCGGGACTCTAACATCATGGAAATTCTTAACATTCCAGAAAAGAAGAAACTCCCGAGAAAGTGAAAGAGGCTGGTTAGCTGGGGTAATGATTTAGATTTAAACATCCCTTAAAAAGCCATAATGATGAAGACCTGGTCCCCACCCTATGGCATATTGCGAAATGATGGAAACTTCGGAAGAGAGTGACCAAAAGGGAAATCGTTGGGACCATTCCGGGAAGGGGATATCTGAATCCTTAATATTCCTCTCCTCACCTCTCTCTCCACCTTTCCTTATCTTTTGCCCTTATGTCTTGGGGATGGCAGCCTAGCCCAGCCAGCTGGGTCAGCTACCTTTTGTCACACTAACACATACATCATCATGTTAACCAAGTGGTCCACACGCCGCCTACAGCCTGAGCTACTCCTTTTCGGCTCAGTGACTTCCACTCAAGTAAAACCACATTCCTGGCTACACCATGGGAAAGAATTTCAGGATGATGTAGAGTTGGAGTTTATTAAAAGGCATTTTGACATCGATTTTAAGCACAGGTACCCAGGAAACAGTGAGACATACCCAAGTACGGGGATGGTCTCTCAAGAGAGAGCCACTGCTTGTCTTGGCAATGGCCACACATATAATCCCTCAGCTTCCTAATTCCCATCACTAGGAGAAAATTGTTCACAGCCAGTGGAAAGGTTAAAGCATTTCCTTTTATAGGCAAAGCTGTAAAGTGGATTTATGAGGGTGTTGTCAGGAAGAAGTACCCAAAGTCGGGGTTAGAAGTCCTTTGAGCCCAGAAAAGGCACCATTTGCTTAGTTTACTTATTATCTTTAACAGTTTGGGGCTTGAGATGTGCTGAGGAAAACGCCCATCGTCTCTGCAGGCACTTTTGGCTTTATCAGCAGTGTCTGCAGCTTCCTGACTCTGCCAGCAGGAAAAACGAACCAACCAGATCTCAGGATGAAGGGTTTCTTTGCTCCCTCCCACCTCCTCGGTGTTCTTTCTATCCTGCCTCATTACGAGTGGCAAGTCCTTGTCTTGTCTTAGAAACAGCTTCAGCTTTCCATGGTCAGAACGTTGGGCTAAGGCGTTTTTTCATACACAGCCTTTAGGCTTTTATCTAATTTGTTGAGAGTTTTTTTTTTAATCATTAAAAATATATCTTAAGAAATGCCTGTTCTACATCTGTGGAGATGGCCGGATGGCTTTTGCTTCTCCCTCTCCCTCAACACACGATGCAGATACTAAATCATCTCTACATACTGGGGATGGATCCCACTTGATCCTGGGTGTGGCCTTCTTAGCCTACTGTGCATCTGGGGTGTGAGGATGTTGCTGAGGATTTTTGAGTCTGCTCATCAGAGAACACATTTTGGTTTTCATCTCCCTCAACCCGCGTGTGATTCCCATTTGAGCAGACATCTTGTCTTGTTCAGTGATGTCCAAGAGCTTAGGTTAGACACCGGTGGAAGGATCATAACTCAGTGGCCAGGATTCTGAGAAAAAGTGCTGAAGAAATAAGAAATTTAAAAAATCACATCTGCTGTCACCAGGGTCCTTAGTATTGCTGCAGTCCTAAAGCCTGGACCTGGTGGAGCCACCAGGACGTATGGAGGGGGAGGCAGCTTCTGCCTATTGTAAGTGCTCCAGAGCCTGAGAGGTTGAACGGAAAGTGAATGGTCCACCCCAGGGGATGAGGTTTCTGAGGGGATGAGATCTCCCTGAACCTTGATGTAGGCTTCGCATCAGCTCCTCGGGGAAGGACCCTAGGCTGAGAGGCAGGAGCTGGCAGAGAGCTTTGGAGGGTACATTACTTCATTGTGGCTTTCTTTCTTTTTTTTAAGGGGAGAGCACAAATGCTCCCCCTCTACCACAAATTATAGTCAAGTTCCCCCCACCCCCACATTTGGGGAAACTGCAGGGGTCAGCACATCTGGAGTGCAGTGGATAAGCCTTGCTGAGAAAACCACCTTCACGATCATGGTATCTCCTCTGCCAGGTAAGTATTCGCTGTGGCTTTCTAATAACAGCAAAGCCCCCCAAAATGAGTAGTCTAAAGGAGGCAAGATAGAAAGACCCAAAAGTGGTGTAACATAAGAAGGAAACCCTTCACCCTGTGATCTGGCTGGTTTATCCTTCCTGCTGGCACAGCCAGGAAACTCCACACACCCGCTGATAACACCAGAACTGCCCACAGAGATGAGGGGCGTTTTCCTAAAGACATCTCAACCGAAAACGTTAAAGACAAATTAAGCCATGCCTGCTTAGGGCCCAAATGATTTCTAACCTTGGATTTTTAGCACTTCCTATTCCCGACAACACTCCTTGTAAATCCACTTTGCAACTTCGTTCATAAAAGAAAACTCTCCGACCCCTCACCTTCCTGTAATTTATACTGAGTGATGGAAATTAGAAAGCCACGGGACCAAGGAGTGACTCTCCACTGAGAAGCCCATACCCATACTCGAGGATGTCTCACTTTCCCCTGGGCATCTCTCCATTAAGTTCTGTGTTTAAGGTCTATGCTTGAAGGGTCCTTGAGCTCTGCTTCATTGCTGGCTTGGCCTGATAACGCTTTCCGCTTTCCATGGCAAAGCCAAAGAATCCAGCTTCACCTGAGTGCAAGGCTCTAAGTGGGGAGGGAACTCACAGGCCGCACTTCCTGGAATGCTGACTCCACCTCCTTCACTGCTGACATCAGTAGCACAAACTGATTGGCTCAGGACTGAGGCAGAGACCAGAGGAGCCCAGGTGGTTGGGTCCTTGGGAGGCCTGAGAGAGAGTCTGTCCAGGACTCTCCTGCCTTCTGTACTTTGCTGGCATCTTGGGCTCCTTGGGGAGTAGAAATGTCACCCTGCGAACACCTCCCTGAATCCACATTTCTCCTTTGTGTAAAGACATCAAGGGATGTAGGGTCAGACTTCTAATGACCTCATCTTAACAATTCATATCCGCAATGACCCTATTTCCGAACAGGGTCATATTCGAAGGTTTGAAAACTTGAACAGGAAGTGAGGTCACAAAAGGGAGACACCATCCAACCAATAAATTATTGGGAGAAAATCTGCATTTTGATAAATAAAGTAAATTTGAATTTTCAGAAGGACATCTACTTGAATGACTCACAGTATAAGCTAAATAATGATGCAATGATTATCAATCTTGTTTATCAATAACTTCATGGGGAAAATACTTTACTTCTTACTCACACTAGGTTCTCTGAGAGTAGCAGAATGTTCCAGAATAGATGTCCTCCATTCCATGACTCAGTGTCCCAGAAGACTGCTCATAATCTCCCAAGAACACAGAAAGGTCATGAGTTGTGTCTGTTTGGGTTTGTCCTGGTCTGAACATGACCCTTTGAACTTAATTAGGTCTATGATATTCCTCTGCCATAGGCTGGAAAGAGTAAGGAATAGATGGGCTCGATTGGCATCCCACAGCATCTACTGTAGGAATGTCTGAAGGACTAGTGTCTGGTATTTTACTTAAGGCCATGGAAGCCAAATTCTTAGCACAGGTTGGAGGGCAGTGGGAAAGATGTTTACTTTAGAAACTAAAGCGCTCGAATCACTGTATCCCTGAAGCCTGGTGAATAAAGATGTCATGGACTCAGGAAGCATTAAGAAGCCCATTGCCTAACAAGTGAGGACTCAGAGGGAAGGGGTTGGGGGGGCAGTAGTTTGGTGGTTTTAAAAATTCATATGGGACTGGCAGGGTGACTCGGTTGGTAAAGTGCTTGTCCTGCAGTCTGAAGGACTTAAGTTCAAATCCCCAGCACCCATGTAAAGAACCCAGGTGTGATAGCATGCCCTTGTAATCCCAGTGCTAGGGAAGTGAAGGTGACCAGGTCCCTGGGACTCACGGGCAGCCAGCTTAGCTTACTGCACGAAGTCCAAGTCAATGAGAGGTCCTGTCTCCAAACACAAGGGGGACAGTTCCTGAAGAACAATATCCAAGGTTGTCCCCTAAACTCCACGTGCATGCACATGCATATGCACACACTCCTGCACCTGCACACACAGGCACAACCACAGACACATAAACACACGGAGAAGAAAATCATACAGGATGAGAGGGGGGAGGGGCATGAAGGGGAGGAAGAAGAGAATATGAAGGTGCTGGGCTGGCTGTTTGGGGGACAGAGGATCAACCTCATCCAATCCTTCCCGTGCTGGAGTGGACTGTGGGGGCCCCAAGAACTGGACTCCTGCATCATCCTCATCACCCCTCAAGAAGTTTGTGCAGCCTTGGACCTTCACAGAGGCTTAGTGTGTACCCTCTGTAATGGAATGAATGATGGGTGGATGAAATGAACAAACCGAATCAATGTCCTCTGTCCTCTTCCCAGATGTCGCAGTCTTTCGGAAGAGAGGAACACCCCTGGCTTACCAACACTCCCGCTCCCACCGCTGCACACAGTCCTTGCCCACTCCTGGAAGAGGCTGCTAGGAGGCGACCTGTTGGTCACTCCCAGATTGGATTATGGAAAGTTCCTCAGCCAAGAACTGAGCCCTTTTCTCGGCAGCCCTCGAGGTTTCAAAATTGGCTGGAATTTATTATGGTGTCAACTCATGATATGAAGGATTTTCCAGCCCTCAAGGCTGCCCTGCCAGATGGTAAGAGGGGGAAAAACGGGGATTACCCAGGGTACTGGGTATGCTTATCTCAGTGTCCACTATTTGGCCACGCCCCCTCTCCATCCCTGTGCCTCACCAAGCCCCAGCCCTGCAGAAGGAATAGCTATTTAAGGGCAGTTGGAGTTCAGGGAAAACAAGACAGGCCCTTGGACAGAAAACTGCAGCAGCATCCCAGAGGTAAATGCCCAGAGACTCCTACCCTGTGGCTGCATTTGAGTGCTTGTGTAGGTGGGTGTATGCATGTGTGTGCATGTGGACACGCCTGTGGATGTGAGCCCCCATCATGTAAACATGTACAAGACAGTATTTGTGTGCAAGTATGCTGTATGGGTTTGGGAAGGTGCCGAAGGAGAATTCAAGAGCATGTGCGTATACGTGTAATCTACACAGGGTTAGAAAGTCTTGCAAAGAGAATGTGCAGTTTTAGTTGGGGATGAGAAGATTGGGGATCAGACTCCATGGATGGAATTCCCAAGCCTTGAGCCTAACGTAAGGATGCAGGTGGAGTGTCTAATGGGGAGAGGCGTTACCTTCAACTTCCCGATTTTGTGGAATGAGTCCAGTCTCCCAAGAGGAAGGAAGGAGGCGTAAGGGCCGTCCCAGCATCGTATCATTCCTGTATGAGAAACCGTCCCACAGGGCCAGGAAAGGACGAGAGGCGACACTCATGATGCACTGTTAAAAGCCACTCTCTATGCTCTTTATGACTTAGCCCCACGCAAGAGCACATCTGTGCTCCAGGGTTGCTAAGTCAGACATCAGAGCAGGGTCTGGGGCAGAGGCTGAGATGCCTGGGAGGAAATGCCCAGGCCAGTCCGTCGATATTTGTCCTTCACAGAGTGACAACATGAAGGTCCTCTTGCTACTAGCAGCCGTGATCATGGCCTTGGGTAAGACCTGACCCTGAACTCCGCAGGGTGGGGGGACATCTGGGAAAGAGGCATCCCACCCTCCAGCTTTCCTTCTCATTGCCCCAGCCCTCTCTCAGTGAGAAGAGGAAGAAAGCCATTTGTGGGGCGAGAACGAACTAGAGAGACACCAACACGGAGGAGGGGGCACAGGCTTCACCGCCCTTCACCAGCCATTTCTCCATTTCCTTTCAGGCCCAATACAGACACAAGGGAGCATTGCCAATTTTTGGCAAATGATCCTACTTAAGACAGGAAAGAGAGCTGAGTCCAGCTATGCCTTCTACGGTTGCCACTGTGGCGTGGGTGGCAGAGGATCCCCCAAGGATGCGACAGATCGGTGAGGATACCCCAGTCTTCCCTATCTTGTGTTCACTCTGGCTGGGACAGGACTAGGGCAGGGCTGGTGCCCGCTGCCTCAGGGCTCTGGTGGGGATGGGACTAGGGCAGGGCTGGTGCCCACTGCCTCAGGGCCCTGGTGGGGATGGGACTAGGGCAGGGCTGGTGCCCACTGCCTCAGGGCCCTGGTGGGGATGGGACTAGGGCAGGGCTGGTGCCCACTGCCTCAGGGCCCTGGTGGGGATGGGACTAGGGCAGGGCTGGTGCCCGCTACCTCAGGGCCCTGGTAAATCCCAGCCAGCAAAATAGTCAGCACTTTGGGAACTCCACTCTAGACCATTCCAAAGTTTTTGAGTCTCTGCAAAGGGTCAAAGGTCAAGGGAAGTGCAGAGGCCCCAGGACTCCAGGGCTGTGAGAAGCCAGCCTCAATAAGACGTGTCCCCCAACCAGGTGCTGCGTGGCTCATGACTGTTGCTACTACCGTCTGGAAAAACGTGGATGTGGTACAAAATTTCTGTCCTACAAGTTCAAATACCAAGGGGGCAAAATCACCTGCGCTGGTAAGAAAGCCCCCGGGACGCTGGCAAGCTCCCCCCCCCCCGCCCCCCGTGTGTTTATTGAGCACCCAAATGCTGGGCAGTTTGCTGGAGCAGAAGGGGAATTTAAGAACCTCACAGAAGACTCTAGCAGGAAGGCAGAAAAGGCCTTTGCCCAGCCTGAGGCTTGAGGTGGATCCTGCAAGCAGCAGGATCTCAGCTGAGTCCTAAGAGCCAGTGAGGCACTTGGCGGGAGAGGAAGGCTGGGCCATCCCCCAGGCGGGGCACAGCATGGCCAAGGGGTCTAAGAGGACCATAATAGGCTGTTCTGGGCTGCCCAGTGGACATGTGAAGATGAGTCTGAGCAGAGCGATAAGGAAGGGACAGGGTCAAGAATTCCTGGCCACTGTCTTGAGGTTTGTGGACTACAGCAACAGGGACCTGTTATTTAGTAAAGCAGCAAGAGACACTTTAGCAAAAAGAAGGCTCACACTAGCTGGGTGGATGGGGGTGGGGTGCACCAGTGAGCCATGCTGCCTGCAGGAGAGTCACACATGGTTTAGAACGGCCAAGGTCAGATTGGAAAGATGGCAACCTGTGAGAATTCTAGGGCAGTGTGGTGCCAAGTCTGGGCAGCTGCTACAGCCAGGATCAGGCCTGCTCCTCGGCTCCGGCATGTTGCCATCATCTATACTTACACTCCAAGACACACTATAGCTCCAAGAACCTTCCTAGGCTCCAGTGACAGGTGGCTTTCCCTCTCTAAGACTCTTTGGAGAGGGGAAATGAACACTTCCCAGAAGCCCCTGTTGACTTTGTCTCTTGGCGCTTCATTCAGAAGAAAGCTGCATACATACTACCTTCAGACCAATCACGGCCAAGGAGAACAGGTGGACCACACAGGTTCTCACCAATACCATCCATCCCAAGGCCAGTGAAGCTGGGCTTCCTCACACAAGCAGGTCTGTTAGCAAGAAGGTGAGGCCAGAGACAGAGCTCAGTTGGCAGAGTGCTAGCCTAGCATACACAACGGCCTGGGTTTCATCCCCAGCACTGTATATATTGGGCATGATTTAGCATGCCTGCTATCCCAGAGCTCAGGATGTGGAAGCAGGAGGATCAGAAGTTCAAGGTCATCCTCAGCTACATAGAGAGTTCAAGGCCAGCCTGAACTACATGAGACCCTGCATTTGAGGGGGGAAAAAAAACCTAGAAGAGGGTGCCCAGGAAGCAAAGCAACCCCCTGGTAGTGCCGTGCTTGGCTGCTGCGTCCCCATCAGACGGGCTGTGTGTCCCCATCAGACGGGGTTCCGCCTTCCCAGCAGCCCTAGTGCTTGTCCCAGAACAGGCAGGTCCCCACAAGCAGCCTTGGGATATTAACAACGGTCAGCTCAGTGTCTGTTTCCCCCTGATTTCAGCAAACCAGAACTCCTGTAGGAAGCAGCTGTGCCAGTGTGACAAAGTCGCCACTGAATGCTTTGCCCGGAACCGGAAAAGCTACAGTTTAAAGTATCAGTTCTTTCCCAATAAGTTTTGCAGTGGGAAGTCGCCCAGGTGCTGAGAGAGGTCACATCTGGACGCGTCTCCTCCAACACCGCTCCCCAGCCCCACCGAGTTCCCTAGTGATAAAAAAAAAAAAAAAAACACCCCTCTCCCACCCTAGAGGCAAGGTGGGGCCCTTCTGTCGCCACCCAGAACGAGACACCAAAGCCTGATGAGTTTGACTGATCCTTCCCCCCCATTCTATTACCTTGGACTGACAGATTTCCCATGTCCACCTTCCCCTTCACATCCAACTTCCTGCCTCTCAGTACCAAAGAGAGTCCTGGGAGGCTCTTACAAATAAAATAATTCATCAGCGACCATGTGTGTTCTCTTAACGTGAAATGAGATAGATATAAAGTATGCATGCTAAAAGTACAGGCTTTGAGAGATAGCTCAGCCCATAAACTGCTTACCACGCAACCATGAGGACCTATGTTCAACCCCCAGAACCCACAGACATAAAGCACACACTTGGTTTACAATCCTAGAATTAGGAAAACGAAGACAGGCGGATGATCCCTGGGGCTCACTGGCAATCAGCAAGTTCCAGGCCAGTGAGGGGCCCTGCCTCCAAAAACAAGGTAGATGGTGTCCTGAGGACCCACACCTGAGCTTGATCTACAGCTTCCTCCCATAAACGTGCACACATATGCATGTATGCGTGGGCACACGCAGAGACACAAACACACACACAAAAGAACAGACTTCCGGGTCAGTCTAGATGGGTCCAACTGTAAGTTGCCCGCCACCTTAAGCCCTGACTCTCTTATTTAAGTGGAGCCTCCTGCTAGGGCTTGTTTGAGAATTAAGAGAGGAAACAGAAGGCAAGAAGTGTCCGATCTGACTACAGCTGCCATCCCTGTCAAAGGCAGGCCTCCCTCTCCCTACCCCCAGGCCAGAGCTGTTTCTCCTGGCTTATGGGAGGATGTGGAAGCCGAAACTGGCGGAATAAAGTGGAGTTGCTTCCGTGAAGCCTCCACCACTTTGAACTTAAAGAAAACAAAGATTATGGAGGACGGCATCTTGTGCCCACACGCCTGACACAGACCTCCTCCCGGAACCCTGCCAGAGCCACGGCGTGTGCAAAGCTGGCCACCGGGCAAAAATAGAATCCTGTGCCGCCCGCACTTGTCAAACTGAGAGGCTCTGCACAGATCTTTAAAATGCCCTGACAGCTCGAGGATTCTCTTTGCCCGTGAAAGAGCAACCAGAAACCAGCGAGATCCCCAATCCTGGGTACGTCCGTGGGCGCAGGAGGACAAGTAAACGCTCTCAGCTGTCTCTCTCTGTTGATCCCTCTGCCTAGTCTGAATCTGCTAACTTTTTCATTTGTATTAAAATAAAGACAAACTGCATTTAAAAAAATTTAAAAAAAAAACAACATGCCAACCCTCAGATGAGAGTTTTTCTTTTGACATTTTGGCCAATAGAAGAAAAACTTTTCTTAATTCCTCCCACCCCCAAACAGTGATTTTGTAACTTACAACAACTCCTTGGCAACCCAGGCGCCTAAGGCACCCTTCTCGGAAATGAAAACTTGGGATTTGAGGCTTTGAGATGATGAGCTTCATGAAGTTGTTCCGTGCTTTCAAGTCACCGGATGCCGGAGTCTGAGCCTTGTGCAATAATAAGATCTCTGGCATGGAAAATCAGTTTCAAGTGCCACGCCCACACAAAAACTGCCTTTCAAAACTCATTCCCCAAAATGCTTCCTGCCCAAACTGATGAGTCCAGCAAACCATCCAAGCAAAAGAAAAAAAAAAAAAAAAAAGGATTGAGGGGGAGGGGTGTTGGTGGGCCAGCAAGATGGCTTAGTGGGTAAAGATATTTACTGAACAAGCCTGCCAACCCGAGTTTGATCCCTGGAACTGACATGGTAGAAGGGAAGAACGTTGTCCTCTGACCCAAACGTGTGTGGGGTGGGAGGCACCTGTGTGCTTATCCATGCATCATATATATATACACAGATAATTTTTAAAAGGCAGACTCATTATTATTCTTATTAAATTCAGGATGTTTGGGCAGTGTGTCATCCTCTAGTGCTAGCTAACATGTAAACTGAGTGTATTCCAGGAGAGCCAGAGCTACACAGAGAAACCCTGTCTCCAGGGAATTAAAAAAAAAAAAGTCATCCTCATGTGTCAACTGCACAGAAGCCAGACTCAACCCAGCAGATAACGCCTGTGTATATTATCTTGATTCTGTTAGTTGACGTGGGAAGACCATCTTCAGTGTGGTTGGCACCATTCCCTGGACTAGGGGTCCTGAACTGCATAAAACGGAGAACTGAGTACTGGGGAGCATGCAAACGTGACCAGCCACCTCGCGCTCCCACGCCCTTCAGGTCCCCACTGCAATGAGCTTACCTTCAGCTGTGAGCCAGAGCACACACGTTCTCTCCTGAGTTGCTTCTGTCGAGGTATCACAACGAAAGGAAAAGAAACTAAGTCAGCCCCGGAGAGGCTGGCCCGCTGTGCCCCGTTACACGGGAACCCAGGCGTGCTCCCTCGTGCCTCGCAAGCTGGCCTGTGTCAATAATTACGTTCTTTATAATTAGCATTTATACTCACCGGCTTTCAGGCGGTTTCTTGCCCTTGCCTTGTACAGCTGACACCTTCCCTTTGCTGGCGAGGCTGAGTCAGATGCTCTGTGTTGCCCAGTCAATGTCCTGTCTCCTGGTGACTGTCACTGTGGGTAGGGGGACAGAGAGGTGAGAAACCGTCCCTTTCATTGTCCCCTTTACTGCCACCATAGGCAGGTACTTTGCTCAGCACCTTGTCACCAAGCACCTGAGTCAGCAGCACTAACTGAGATTCTCATCCTGAGGCGTGACCTGCTGCCACCCTGGGAATAAGGATAGGAGAGGAAGGGATGGACTCGGAGGGCAGGAGACAGCCTGCACTGCTTTCCAACATTTCTCCTCAGGCAGTGATGTGGGACAGCTGTCGCTGTGACAGAAATGAAGATGTCTTGGACAGACACTTGTGCCCCACCCTTCGATGACGATCCCAAGAAGCTGAATGTCCCTGGGAATCTCTAGTGCCAACCTGAGGAAGAATCTGACTCATACAGTTCTGATGGCTCGCCAGATCACCTTACAGGGGTGACCAGAGCAGAGGCACTACCGGGTCAGTGATGGGCAGGGACACACCTTGACCAGGGCCCTCTCCATGTCAAGACCCTGAAGATGGATTTGGGGTTCACTGAACCTCTTCGTTCCTCTTCCCACCGTGGCTACATTGACTCTATCTTTCTCTGCTTTTCACTGTTGCTCCCATTTAATTGGCTGGCCTGTTGAGGTTGGGTGGCTGAGCCCGGCTTGTTAGGGCCGCCAGGGCCCAGCCTCTGACTCTAAGGGCTCTGGCGACATCGTCACACCTCTGGAGCTTAATCATCTCAGAATCGGGGAGCAAAACAGAAGAAAAACACAGTCTAGAAAGTTCTCTAGTTAGCTGTAGTAGCTGGGACCTGTAATTTCAGCACTCGGGAAGCTGAGGAGGAGCCTGAATCTGAGACCAGCCTAGGCTACATAATGAGAGAAAAGAAAAGAAATAGTTTCCTCCACCCCGACCCAGGGTCTGACCCTGCTCATCCTCTGCTCCAGGACCCACCGGCTCAGCTCCCCACAACTGCACCCTGTGGTCCACGTTGTCCCCAGCTTCTTACAAGGCTTGGCAGTGGATCTCTTGTTATTTCCTCAGATCCAGGCTCCTCTCTCAGGCCTGTCATTCTGCCAGACTTGTTTTGGCAAAGGAGCAGGAGCCTCTGCTAATTTACAGTCTTGGCACACACAAAAAGGGGTGGGGTGTACAGTGCAGGATCGTGTATACAATCTAAAAGCACACACAGAGTTACACAAACACTGAGTCCTTTTCAAGGAACCACGCATCTAAATAAGCAAAGGGTGGCACCAACGGTGGATGGAGGACCAGAGAGGAAAGTGAACGTAATACAACAAAACCGTGTCTTCCACCAGCCGGTGGTGAGAGTGTGCTGTGAAGAGAGACCACTGGCAGGGGCTTAAGAACTGAGCAGTTAGAAAGGTGCTTAGGGGCCAGCTAGATGGCTCAAGGTGCCTGCCGCCCAGCCCGGACCTGAACTCAATCCCTGTGATTCACATATTAGAAGAGAAACTGTTCTGCAAACCTGTCTCCAGCTTCCACACATATGCCAGGGCTCAGGGATGTGCACACTCACATAAATAATAAATACATTCAGTAATGGTTTTTTAAAGAAAAAACAAACACGAACCTTCCTTGTGGAAAAAGGCTCCAGATGTGCGGTCACGTGCAGGCACACAAACACACAAGAACACCTGGGTGTGTCAGGAAGAGGGACAGTGAAAACCAGAGCCATCTGGAATAATGGCTGGTCTTTGAGTGTCTCCCCCTTACCGCTGTGAGCAGCTAGCTGGGCCTCTGACAAGTTCACACCACCTAGCCAGAAGGAGACACTGAGTTCTCACCTCCATCTCAGCTTTGATTCTCACTGTTTAACACGAGAATCCATTTCATTCCACCCCTGTCCCCAGTTTTAGGACAAAGGCAACCTGGTCACAGGTGGAATTGAGTCAGGTTCATTCTGGGTGACACAGAGATGTGAGCATTTTCTCTATAACGTCTAAGGAGACACGTGAGGCTGGGAGAACCTATGAGACAGACATGGACGCTGTACCCAACAGAGACCAGTCTTCAGCCACTCAGAGTCACTACCACCCCTCCACTCCACCCAGCATCCAGAACACATGCTATACCCGGGCTATCCCACCAACTGGCACTGAGACATGGCACTGTGGTGTACAAACGTGTTGGACTGTGTTTGTAGCTGGCCTGGGACACATGTGGCCCACAGGCCACAGGCTGGATGTACCTGTTACAGCTTTTGTGATCTCTCAGGATGCCAAGAGGAAGGAGCATGATCAATGGGCAGCACCAAGCCCCAGGCCAGATCTTCTAAAGGAATTGTTAAAAAGATAAACTTAGGCAATTAAAATCTAGCACATTTGATTCATGCACAGATCATGCAGCTCAAGATTATGAGAGATTTAAAACATCACTGCAGGGGACAAGAGGAAAAAATCTTATACGATGTTTGAGAAATGAAAATACATTGGTTAAAATGGACAGCCACAGTGAGGGACTGGCTGAGCTTCAGGGTCTCTTTACTATTTATTTGGAGCTTCTGTTTGTTTATGGAGTGCTGGGAGCCATCCCCAGCATTGGGTGGGTCCTGCAGAGGGTGTAAGGAGTCGGCGGGAGAAGGAAGTGAGCCAGGCCATGGTGGCCGGGAGAATCTTGCAGCCTGACTGACTAGCAGCCAGAGTGTTTTTTTATTTATACAGATTTAGTTAGCAGGGATACATTCATGACGTTCCAAAACATAGATCATATCATTTTTGTTTTTGGACATGTGTTTCACTTTCTTTTGCTCATCTTTTAGTCATCATTAATAAACTATGACAGAACAGAGTTATTTCCAATCATTTCCCCCTCAAGTTTTGACATCATTAATAAACAGAGTTATCATTATTACTCATTAACCCCATAACCCAATTTTTGAGAATCTAGAGACATATGACAGCCTATGCTCAGGCTGGTTGTTTTGGTTGCTTCAAGGACATTAGACCAAAACAAAATCTTCAACCACCCTGGGCATTTTGCCATGTCTCAAGCAGTGTGTTATTAACTCTTAGTGGTCAGAGTACCCAGGAAAAATCCTCAGGCTAAAGCTGCAGTTATTACAATCAATGTTCACATTTATATCCTTATAGAATTTGTCTATATGTCTAATCCTGGCATTCTGTTGTTCCTTGGTTATATGACATTATAGTGGCTCTGCATGAGCTGACTTCTAAGAGAGGGAGGTCCTGACACCTCATACTTTCATTATCTTTCTACTCCACACTTTGCTCATCAATATGTCTCTATGTAGGGCAGAGTTGTATGCCATGTAATTGTCTGAGTGTACAGTGGGAAGAGGCTTGTAATCTGAACTGTGGCCAACTCCTCTAGCCCACCGGATCTTGTTGGCCTTTTTAAATAAATTTTGTTTTGAATATCTTGTTCCTGTGTAAGTAGAGGGACAGATGTTTCAAGAATGTCTCATAGCCTCATGAAGAGACCTCTGGCTTCTTCTTTATGTGTCACAACCTCCAAGGCATAAGGAAGACCTTCAAGTAGATAAGAATATCTCCCTCAAAGTGTGTGTGTGTGGGGGGGGGGATAGTATGTTCGGGACTTTCCTGGATAAGCTTAGAAGCAGCATTTCTGGGAGAAGGCATAAATGATCATTAAGGAGTTTTCCATCAATCCAACATCCCCAAATTGTACAAATATTAAAAGTGCCCCAAGTATGTAACAGGTGGAGATGAAAACCAAAGGTGGCATGGCAGCCATCATGTGGCTCAACTCTGCTGGATCCTTGTCAAGCAGCTGTGCTGGCTTTGTGACTTCTGCCATTCCATTCACATATGGCTGTGCCAATGGAGGATCTCAAAGTCTTGGCATTATCTCAGCTCCATGGCATCACAATTTCAAAAATACAAACAAGCAAAAACCTTCGCTACTGCTGATCAAACCCAAGCCTTAAGCTATATCATCAGCCCTAATTTAAATGTGGCTCAGTTAGTAGAGTGCTTGCCTACCATGCACAAAGCCCTGGGTTCAAGATCCGGCACTGCATAAAACAAGGCATGGTGGGGCACGTCTATAATCCCAGCACTTGGGACGTCGAGGCAGCAGGATTAGAAGTTCAAGGCTATCTTCGGCTATAGAAGCCAGCCTGGGCTACATCAGACTCTGTCTCAAAAAATATTATTTTTGCAGACTTAAGTCAAGAAATTTAGTAAATATCACACGCTTGTTTGAAACAACAGCTATGTGGCATGTTTATAAGGACAAGAAAATAAATAAAAGAAGAATATATACTAATTCTATTGGAAAGTGACACAATTTTCTCGTTTTCATCTATCATTACAGACATACTCTGCTGCTATCATTCCAAAACAACTTGTTCTCATCAAAAGCAGATTTTTGAGAGGTTTTTTTTTTTGTGATTGCTGGGTAAAATATCTGATGGGCAAAATGCAAAATAATGAGCAAAAATTCAAAACCAAGTCACTTGGGTAATTACAAAGGGCATCCAAACCAGGAGAGAGAAAGTGTGATTATCAAACTGTCAGTTTGAACACATCATGATCTTTCAGATGGAAAACCCCAAACACTCCATCAGAACTAAATAAATAAATAAAAGGCTTCAGAGTACAAAATGGAGACAGAAAAACTGGGGTAGCTTTAAAAGCACCAGCAGTGCCTGACTTGAACTGGAAATCAAGAAAGCAAACATTCATCGCAGTGGCAGAACCTAAAACCCCAGGAATGACTCTGCATGAGCTCTCAAATGGAGACTGTGAAACACTGAAGCTTTGAAGAGGACGTGGGGACAGGAGACGCCTGCGCTCTGAGGAGGAGGAGGCAGCCCCATCCAAGCGCCCTGGAAACCCAAAGGGCCCACTAGTCCAGTGCTCACTAACAGATACCAATGCCGGGGCTGACAGCTGGTCCCATGAGCCAAGTGCTCACTGTACAGGTGCGAGGACCCGGGTCTGGATTCCCAGCACCCACATAAGGATCTAGACCTGTAACCCCAACATCTAAGGGTGTCGGGGTAGAGGCAAGAGCATCCTGGGC